AACTTTTAACTTGTTAATTATTTTTTTTATTAACTTAACTTTTAATCAATTAATTTCATTATGGATTAACTTATATCTTAACTAAATAAAATTTTTAAGACCTTTAACTGTAACTTAACTTAAATAAAAAAAAAATTTAACTTACCCAACCTTGGATTTTGGCAATTCTTGCGATAACCTTGCGATGATTACATGATTGCAAGCAGTATTGCAATCGTTGAAAAGTTGTCGTAGTAGAAATCGTATAGTTTATCAAAACCCTCATTCTCCATGACAAAATATATAATTTATATTACCCTCATACTCGTAAATCATTACAGACATTCAAAAAAACATACTCTTCGCTGCTTTTGTTAATTGGCTGTAACTTATGACTAATGTAGATACTCAAATTGCACGATCCCTGCGTCTTGTGACAATGGCTGTGTTCAGCGGACTCAACAGTTGAAACATTGTTTTGCGTTTATTGCTAATAACTAAAGAGATGTCTCAACTGCTGAGTCCGCTGAATGCAGCCATTGCGATCATGTGATTTATCTCTTGCAATCAATGTAGAACGACCTTAATACTTGTAATAAATACAAATCAACTAATCGCATGTGAGTAAATACCCGCATATACAAAATACGTTGGGACTGTTATTGACTTACGCTTGGTGGAGTCGTACTGGCTGCTAACAGCAAACTAGTAGCGTTTCCCGCAGGCTTATATTGTGGCGAATCCCTTAAAAGCGCCGGGGAACTTGCCGCTGAGCCGCCAGTACCTCCGCTCCTAAACAGATAAATGCAATAATCATGTGTGTGTGTGTTAGCCACGTTCGTGCAACGAAATTAGTGTTCCAGTATAAAATATTTTGCACGCACGAGGTTTAAATGCAGGGAAATATCTCGCGCGATATACGTTACGACAATGGAGCGTGTAATTGTTATAATTACAATTAAAATTAACAAGATAATTAAGATTATCTTACACATTCCTTGCAGAGATAACATTATTGTTGGTGCATTACAAACGTACATATTAAAGAGTGTATATATGCTCGTTGAGATAAATGAGATATATTTACAGGGGAGTAGTAGCGGGTACTGCAGCGGAAGGCGTGGGCGTGGTAGCAATTGAAGGACTCTTTCCTGGAGGTGGATTATTAGCCGGACTTCCCGAAGGTTTCTTGGATCTCGGCGCTTTATCTTGTTGCTGTTGCTGCTGCTTCTGCTGCTGTCGGCACTTGGCTCTACGATTTTTGAACCATACCTGTAACACACGTAGAATCATCTGCGCTATTATATAATCAAGCATTCTGGCAAAACGTGAACACGGCATTATCATTTAAACAAATAATCGTGCATCTGTTGCAAAGTAAAGCGGATGACATTTTTGCGTTTCATCATGTAAACGCGATTCGATGCAACGAGATCGGCAAGCCCGACCGACGACGGCGGCAGAGCTTTTGCAAAGCTGGCGTAATAGCCAATTATAAGGGAATGTCCCGACTGGCACAGCTATCAATTACCAATCAAGCTGACTGCAGCAACGCGAACGAAAACGTGAACGCATATCGGAAACACATTCGCTACCAGGCTGTCATTAATGCAACAGAATTACGAATACCAATTGGAGTATAGGTCGTCTCACACACCGAGCAACTTCTCTGAATGGAATAAGCCGATTTCGCGTACCAACGGGCTCGCTACAGTTTGCGTTCAAAGTGTCCACCGGTTTTGCACGAACACCTTGTGTAACGAAGCTGCTAATTATGTTTACACAAACTAAAAAGCGTTCTCGCCACTGGCGCGCAAGTGATAAAGCTTAACATTTTATCAATTTCTGTAAGTTTCTTTGACGAACATCATCAAAAGCGTTTCGTTAATATATTTTTCATGTTTTCTAAACGAAACGCTGCAGTTTCCCGTTTTTTTTCAGCAAAACGGAATATTTGTAAATTAAGATTCGGAAATATAAGTACTTCGCGAGAATAAAACATTTCCGATTAGAGATACGAAATGTGAAAAACGATATCTTGCATCTCGTAGTTCGTTTCGCAACGTCACCGATACATATTGATGACAAAGGGAGGAATGAGGTAAATGGAAAGAGAAGTAAAGAGAGAAGAAATACGATAGGAAGAGAAAGACAGAGTAGAACTTGAAGAAGCCTCACGCGATCGATGTTAGAAGCGGAAAGGTGAGCTTGGGTTTCTACGGATTTTCTAGAAAACCAAACTAGCAGTTCACAACTTTTCTATCGAAAGAGTCTGATATATAAAAAATATAGAAAAAATTGTATTTATATATATATATATGTATAAAACATAAATTCTTTGTTTTCAAAATGCGTACGTATACGTTCATGAAGATATTTTATCACGATTAGATATGCTTTACGCTGATATTGAGATACCTACACTGACGAAACATCAATGTTCTTGCAAATTCATCTACTGTAAAAATTTACATTCACGACAGATCACGAGATTAGCATCATTCACGAGAGATAATGTTCAATTTTAATTATAAGTAACAAGCTTTTTGTCTTACTCGATGAATTTTTTCACTGATCAATAGTGAATATTATAATAATTTTATAATACTATTATAATAATTGTTTAGCATGCGCAACTCCTGCAGGTAGCGCTGTAACTTATTGTGCTATACTCTTCGAAAAATTGGCTTTAATATGTACGGCTATTGCGGCGCAGATCTATTATTGTATAATGTATTGTATGATGTGAGAAAACTAGCTTTAGCGAGTCTACAATGGACACAGATACGTCTGCAGTTGAAAAGTCATGCAGGGGCTCGAAAAAATGGCGATCGTAAACGTAGAAGTCTCTGCATGGTTTTGCAGTCGTCTGACGAACGTGCAGAAGACTATGGAAACAGGCTGGGTCCATTCATCCCGTTTATACGCTATAGCCAGGTGTGTTGGGTGGCAATTGCGGATGTGAAACGTCCTTTTCGGCTGTAATGAAGGTGTAATATGCACAATCACGTTTTCAGGTCTTCTGGACATATAACTCGGATCATCGAGCGACTAAATGGCATAGTATCGAGTAACGCCAACATATTGATTCGGACAATGTTATTCAATGCATCGATATATAAGTTTGTATATATGAAAAACACACTTTTTATACAAAAACAATTCTTTTGCTCTCAAGCCATTGAAATGATATGCACCAAATGAGTATATCACGATTTTATGTTGTCAAAATAAGCAAATTTTTTAAATTGTTTCTCTTCTCGAGCTATACTGAACAGCGAATCTAAAAGCGCACATATTTGGTTTTCGTATTTTGTTTTATGTTGACATTGCTGTAAACAGTTGTAAACACTCGGCTTCTGTGTATTAAAGAATACGACATTTTATATAAATGTATATAAAATGTTATATTAGCAAAAGATATATACATTAGACAGAGAGAGAAAAAGAGAGAGAGAGAGAGAGAGACTTATATATATTAGAGCTTTATATATTTCACAAAAAAATTTTGTTTAAGTATTTTAAAGAAGATGATTCATTTCCAGAAGATTGCTATTGATTATTTATATTAATGATTTATTCTCAGAAATCAACTGTACTTATTGTAAATATACATATTGATATCAAAACGTGAATCCACAAATTTGTGTAAGTATTTTTAAAGTGATTGACTAACTCAATTAACTCTAATGAAAGACATATGAGAAAGAATCAATACTGTTCGCACTGTCTGCATGCCGATAGTGCGTACCCCTTGGTAATTGGATACTTTTGTTTCCCTCATGGACATTCATGTGATGCATTTTTTTGCACACTGCAAAGTTGTTTCTTTTCAGGTATTTAAAATTACGTACTCTTTATATTGCATTTTTTAATTATTTTTTGTGAAATAACATTATAAACTAGATTTTCATTTATTGATACTTCTGTATTGTAATAGATAAACATCTTTACAACGAGTATAACTTTAATATTGTACAAATAATAATTAATAGAGAATTATCTCGGGCTCTTTAGTATCAAACTAATAAATGTATGTAAGTCTGGTCAGTAAGAGCCGATCGCAGGATGTTGTGCGAAAATAATGTGCGTATATACATATATGTATGCATACATTTTATATAGTATATGCGTTCACGTGTAAATTTTTCACGTGAGTTTTTTTGAATTGAAATAATACACGTGAACGCATATATGTATATAAAATGTATGCATACATATATATACGCACATTATTTCCGCACAACATCTTGCGATCGGCTCTTACTGACCAGACTTACATACATTTATTAGTTTAATATTGTATGTTATCAAAAGCAAAATAACAAGTTTATAATAATTTACCTGAACTCTCGATTCCGGTAAATTAATTTTCATTGCCACTTCTTCGCGCATAAAGATATCAGGATATTTTGTCTTCGAAAAAAGGCCTTCCAAGACATCCAACTGCGCTCGGGTGAACGTTGTCCTTTCCCGCCGCTGTTTTCTCGGATTGCCTTTAATAAAGAATTTTAAATACAACAGAACACAATACAGCTTTTATCTATGATTGTGATTTTTTCTCAGATGTACCTATACAATAAAACTTTCGATGTTAAATCTAAATATTGTTTACAAAGGTGCACTTATAAAAAGAACCAAAAATTGGTTTTTAAATCTGAAGAGGCTAAATGTTTGATATTCGGCCAAAAATCTTTAAATATGTATTTTTAATTTCTCTAATTAAAATTGAACTATTTTGTGTGGCGCATATCGAAAATTCTTACAATGAATGAGTAAAATTTACTACGCTACGTTGCCACAGGTCAATTACTGCTTTAATAACTAATCGATACAATATGATTATTAATATAAATAGAATAAATGATCTGATCATTAATAATTAAATTAACAACAGCAATAATATTTTCACGAGTTGGAAGCAACTTTCATACATAATGTAGTAGCTTTTATATATTAGCATGATTAATAAATAACTCCATATTATACCGCATTACTAACACTTCCGTATTACCACTATTCTGTCAATATAATATTATAAGTTGCTGGAACAATTAAAATATATATATATGTATATACAGTACTCTCCATAAGTTTGGAAACATCCTGTTTTACAGGCAAACAATAACATGACAGCAATCTGTGTATGTTTTTGGTTTAAATACATTAAATACATTGACGTTCAAATGATGATAACTATTTTTATCTAGAACACTTATAAGTATATGTCGAAAATATGTCAGACAATCATTTCGTGGCATCGTGCTTATGTGCGTAAATACACGTCAGAAAAACAGTAGATCATTTGAATGTCGTCAATTACAATTTCTGTAAAAATAGTTAACTATTTGAGTCGCAGATTGATTTTAGACACTGTAAAACTTGTAAAAGCTACAATTATCAAAAATAGCAAACAGGATGTGGCAAAACAAGTACCAATAGACAAACAATAAACCAGCGCGCGAAATTCAATTCTGAGCGCTTTGATGCCACGAAATGATTGTCCGATATATTTTTGGCATATACAAACTTATAAGTGTTCTAGATAAAAATGTTTATAAAACTACAAAATTTGATAGTAAGAGTCGATACGCTAAATGTTTTGCAGTATAAATATATTTGAATATATATTTATTTATATATCTGAATATATATATTTAGTTGAAAAAACTGATAATTCAAAATAATTAGGACAGACCCAACAGCCGGTAGTTCATAAATATATAAACCACCACTATCTGTGATGTTTTTTTAGGAGTTTACATTTTCTACACATGATTATTTGAATTGAAATTTTTCAATTCGTGATTTTATAGGATACTTGATTTGCATTACATATATGAGCATCCATTTTCCCTCCCAACTAATTTAGAAATTATATTGTAAAAAAATGTTTATTATCATTTAAGACGTCTTACAATATATTCAAACCAAAACCATGCACAGATCGCTGTCATGCAATTGTTTGATACACTTTTATATAATTGTATACACACACGCGCGCGCATGATCTGATTTGACAATTTAAAAACTTGCTCCCGACTTGTTCATTACTAAAACTAATAAAACAATATGATGGGCACTCACAGTAGTAAGACTCACCGGCAGGTGTGCAACCGGGATAGCCAATAGTAGAATGTAACGCTTCGATTGGTGGCATACCGAGTGCGCTTACATACGGATTTGTCTTGAGAGCGCCGTAGGGTCCCGCGGCGGACGCGCCGAACGCCGCGGGCCCAAAAAGCTCGGAGGCCGAGGTGGTGGAAGCGGCGAGGCCCCCGAGTTCGGTAGCACCGGCTCCTCCGCTGCAGCCGGAAGTACCTCCGAGGCTATTCGGCCACATCAGCACCCCCTCGGCCCCCAGCACGACTATCTCCCGGCTGCGGGACCTTTAAAGTGACGTCTTCAACGTCTAAGAGACGTTTTGGCTGGAAAGAAACAAGAAAAATTATTTAAAACTAAATTTTTATTTAAAACTTTTTGCAAAAACACAAGTTTTTTTCTAATTAGCAATCACAATCATTGAGGTTGTTAAAAACAATTATTTTTGCAGTGTGATCAGAAAAATAAAGCTGTAAAGTATTGCATATTGTAAAAAAACTAAACTACTTATAATGTATTATAAAATGCAAAAGATTCAAATTGTGTTTTTGTTTTAGAAAATGTTATTTCTAATAAAAGTGTACAAAGTGCACAAAACAAAGCTATAGTCATTGTAGATTTTTACTTTAGTTTTGAATTCTGTTTCGTTTATATTCTGTTGTTACTAGAATAGAATTTGACTCCACAGATCTCATTTAAAAATAGACAATTTCATGTTTTTATCAATTACCATAGATAATGCGTCGTTTCTTTTCACTTTAGTCAAGAAAGGCCGTCAATGTTTTAAATCAACACAAATTGGTTGTTATCGCTCAGGATAGAACAACACGATTGCAGCAGATGTGTGCAGCGGAAGATAATCCGATAAAGATGCAACAGGACTCCAGAAAGATACACTCTTGGGAACTCCCCCTACCAAAAGCGGGCCACAAATCTAATTCTGAAAATGCATCATCGGCGAAAATTGAGAACACGGCGAACAACGGCTATGTTGGAAGATCCTGACGCACAACACGCCTGCTGCGACTTTCCGTTGCGTTCTTAGCCGGTTGACTTAAGTCGCGTTTTATCCTCTCCGATTACAAAGTCAGAAACAACGCTTTGCTCCTTTGCGCCATCACGAACGATCTTCTCCTCCGGTGGCGACTTGTTAATTTGTTTGCCACCACGTTTATTACATCTACGCGTTGCACATCTGCGATATGGCCGAACAACGACGGAACGCGTATTGTTTCCTGTCTCCTGGACGTCGCCGTCCATATGTCTCGGATTAAGGGATGCTAATCGGTAAGTACTTAACGTCCACAGTACAAAAAAACAATCGGATGACGACAACACGTCGCATCATGACGCGATGTGTGTCCCTGAGAGATAATCATTTTTATTGCATGCAAGATGTAGGACACTTGACTTGGGTTTAATCTTTATTAGCCGTCGACTTCTATGTACCTAATCGCATTTGGTGTAGATATATCCATAGATATAATTTACTTATATCAAGTCCTTCCTTAAATTCTACCAATCATCGCTTGGTACAGATAAATTAAATTTCATTTTCGGAGCGCGCTGAATTTTACATAAAGCTCCACAAGAGTTAGATTAAACTGAAATGAATTAAAGTTGAAATTTTCAATAGCTCAGATATAAAAGTCTTACATTCACGTGAAAAGATTTCTACTTACAACGACTTGTTAGCCGTTGGCATAGACGTGGACGGGCTGATTCGACGATTCGTCTGTGTTTCCAAAATGAAATCTTACACCAGCAAACCCGTCTTTAATAATGTATTGTTCCGTGTCCTCTCTTAACTGCGCGCTATATTGAAACTAGATTTCACTGAATAGAACCACGCCATACGAGAGGCCTCTTCAGAATACTAACAGAGCTACTGCAGCACGAGTCTTTTCGCGCAAATATGGATGAAACACACTCACTTCCGCGTATATGTATATACGTATGTACATTGCATCCTGTTGCGTCCGCAATTGAAATTTATATTACTATTCAAGTCTTCGTTATACGCTGCAATTTAACTACTGATAGAGAGCGTATAAAATACTATGTACAAGAGAGAGAGAGAGCAAGTCACTTTATGATATTGAACCGACAACTTAAATAGTGGTTTCTCGCGTAAATAACCGCTATAAATTGAAATAAAAAAAGACTATCAGATTTACAAATTAAAATAATAATAATAATAACTTAAAACATACTTTACTTCTTGAGCATTTAAATATAACATGTATCACGATTTATGTCCTGAAATTGAATGCGACATAATTCTTGTTTTTAAAAAATGTAAAATGTTTTCATAGAGATGTTACATCGCTCGATAAAATTATTAATACCTAAACATCGCAATAAAAATTCGAGCTCTCACCGTATTACGTTACTAATATTATGTCTCATTACGCTTGCGCGGAAATTTTCTCCAATCTTTGGAACCAAAATGAAGCTGCCACCCGCTGAAAAAGAATCCATAGAGTATATACACTATCCCGTGACGCCGCTCTTCTCTCGACTATATTAAAATTTTGCCCGTTATGAAAGGAAGGGCGAAACACGAAGAAAAGGCAAGGTATTCTCCCGGGTCCTCCTGAAATCAGTCAGGCACACATCACTACTTTTGTGCACTTACGCGTCTCGCATCGGCCACAAAAAGCACTTGTTACACGCCATCCAACATGAGTAGAAAAACGTTGAAAACAACTGTCACACTTTTAAAATCTTTTTAACGACGCCGTATTGTGATATTTACGCGCACTGTCACGGGGAGATTATTAACCTTTCTATTAATTTTTGTTATTCCAACAACACAAAGTTTTTTTCCTTAGTATCATTATGAAAAAAATTAATTTATTGTCATTAAAAAGTACGAAAGTTTTAATATTTATAAATATTTATATTTTTACCATATATATATATATATATACTGAATCTCTCTAATTCAATATTTTTTATTAGAATATTGTAACTATTTTTTCGAAATATTACGACGATGTATTATCGTTTGTTTGCACTTTTGATACATCAAGACCGCGAGAAAAAAAACTACGAGAAAGAACACGAGAAAGACAGAGAAAAAGAGAGAAAGAGAAAGAGAAAGAGAAAAAGAAAGAGAGAGAGAGAGAGAGAGAGAATGAGCAAAAACGAGCACTGAACGGTCCTCTTATTACGGCAGCCAGAAGTCTCTTTATCTTTGTGCACTTCGGTGCACGGGACAATGCACTTGTTACAGACCGCCAAGTGTGGACAAAATGTCCAGGGCCGCCACTCGATTGGCCCTCGAGGGCACTCGAATAGTCTACGACCCTGCAGAGACCCGAGTGAAACGGTAGAACTAGAGAAAGATAGCGAAGGTGCCTTTTACACCCCCGCGCACTCTCTCAAATCCCCTTGTTCCCGACGAATCGATCTCCCGCTGCAACGAGTCACCCCCACTCGCGCCCTTCGATAGTTCTAGTGCAAACACTTTGCGTTACCAATCGACAGATATATACTGGCATGCCGTCTTTAATGACTATTAAATCCCCATTATTACGTCCCACGTACATTCTGCATGTGAGGAGGAGAGACAGAGACAGTGAAGGTGTTCACTCTTATCGTCGAAGAATTCCATTTACTAACGTCCAGCAGATCATATCTATGCGGATTAGTTGAGCGAATAGAGTGCACGTGCATATGTGAATATGAATTATGTTGAGTTTTAAATTTGTTTTACAATTTTTTGTACATTTTATCCGAAACTCTGCAAAAAGTTCTTTCAAATTTTGTCAGTCAGTTTTAGACAATCAAAAGTTGTTTTTCGCACTTATGAACATGTAATTGCGCTAATAATGTAATTTATTATTTATTTATTGCATTTATACAAACAAACACTATAATATATTAGTATTGTGATAGTAGTATAATAATATATATAAAATTGTAATTTTGTTGTGCCGAAATGCAGTTGAAACGCAGAACTCTAAAAGTTTTTTTCTTGTTATTGGCGCGCGCATTGCGAAAATTATAACGCAAAGAAATGCTTGTGATGCGCGCACGCACGCACGCACGCACGTACACACACACACACACACACCCCGAAAACAAGTCGTATCCGGATTCATCGTATCAAGGGATGCAACGTCGTTTCTGCATTAGGTAGCGCGGTTTACGGCTTCAGTATACTCCGGCAGTACACGAAGAATGACACACTGCTATCCTAGAAAGTTAAGTCGCGGTCGCATTGTTTCCAGGAGTATTTGCACACAACCGCATTGTTCTTGAAAGGCTCGCCCCCATAGTTCCACAATGAGCGTATACGTACGTGCGTAGCGTCAAGTGCAGTCGTGTTTGAACCTCGCGAAGAAAGCCAGAAGGTACTTGTGAAACAAGCGAGGCATTAACCGATTTCACGAACGATTTTTCAAGATTGAACCTTGTGTGCTTTCGTTCAAATGCGCATACATGCTTTCGTGTAGTAATCTCTCTACGCATAAGTATATTTCATTTCTCCTTACTGGCAGCTTCGTGACTTAGCATTCTCAATATAACGATCCTGATACATATCGCGCGTATCTCAAGAATAGTGATATGAAATTTAACAATCAATAAATTGGCAGCAAGTTGAATATAATTCGCTATTACACAATTCACCACTTGTAGTGCATTTGCTGTACAAAGAACATAAGATATCTAATCAATATCGAATAATAAAATTATTATCGTCATTTAATTAGATACCTAACGAGACATCAGGCACTTGTAGCTGTGACGAGTTCGTGCAGCCTTTCCATAAAATAATTGACTCAGTATTATATATTGAGCTTGAACTTTTTCACAGGAATATGGCTTTATGTCTCGCGGCGTCGTGCACTTTCACCCTGTATTGTGGTTGAATACCCGCTCTGTCAAGAAGCAGGCGTATACATAACCATGCGCACCAAGTCGTGCACGAGGAAACGTCTTTCTATCGAAGAGTCGCATTGAATACAATCTTAGCCCCGGGTATACGATGTTTGTTGCGCGTTCATTGAGCGTAAAACTTAATTCCCGTAGAAATTCTACGAGAAGTATACACGAAAGTATATACGCTGGGGAGGAGGCTTGTTCTCCGAAAGTTAGTCTTTATTCTCAGCCGGCAAAAAAGGACATGCCAATGGTTGCACCCCGTCGCCCGACGGGGATGAGCCTTCTTCATTTCCATCATGTCTCCCTTCTCCCTCTTGTCTCCATTTCGCTTCGTGCTCCTTTATGTTCCGCTCTGACGGTGAAACTTACTGATTCCTCGGAGCCAATTTTGAGAATATTTTGTTCCCTCCGGTTTTTCGACGTTCACGGTTCTATAGTGGCCACATCAATCCTCCCGTCGAAGGCACGGCGCGACATTGGGACCCGTTCGCACGTGATAACATCTACCAGGGATTCCGAGAGACTTGATGCTTCGATGCCGGAGTCGAGATTGAATTCGTGGCAGCAAATCGAGAACGAGAGTTATGGCGGAGTTCTCTGAAAATTCCGCTTAAAAGGGCAGGGCTTTTTGATCAATATATGTTTAATGTATCTCGACAATAAACGCATTTTATCATTTATGGCAATTAACGCAAATTTGCACTTTTATGATTAATATAAATTGTCAATCGTTTGGATTATGTGATTCTGTGACATAAAAATGTTAGTGAAAAAACAAAGAATGCATTAATTTTTAATGTAGAGAGATAAATTTTGTTTTTAGATATATTGACTTCTGTTCTTCATATATATATGTATATATACATATATATTGTAGAAGCCCTAGGAATATTTGTCAACGTGTTGTTCGGCTTCCTTGTCTTTTTCAGCTTGAAAGTGATTATATAAGTAATTGAATTTTATGGATAGAAGTACGTGTAAATATTATATCTTTTTACTCTTAAATATATATATATATATATATATATATATATATATGTATATATATATAACATATGTATGTATCTTCACGTCATAAACTTTCAACGAACAATAAAAAATATGTTTCTTAATATAAAAACTTTTTATTCTTGCGTATAGATTTCTAACTGTCCTTGACTTCGTCAATTGTAGAAACCTTAGTAAACATTTGCTACCTTTGTTATTCGGCTTCCTCATTACTTTCAACACAGAAGTAGTATTAAACCTTTAACTAAAATATTTAAAACGTATTGCTCAATTCGCTTCGTCATGTTTTTCCAATGTGCAGAAATATCACATTTGTATATTTATCGCAA